AGAGTGTGTCTTACAGGGAAGACGAGCTGACGGCAGCTAGAAAGCAGGCGGGGCCTCTCAGAGGCTTTCTGAAACTGTTGGCAGTCAGGGCTTCAGCTTAGCTGCTTGGCAGGGCTGCACCCATTTCGAGCTCCTGTTTTTGAAAATCAAACTAAGAAAAAGACATCTGATGACTGAGAATGTTGATCTGACTATATCACATGGCAAAAACTGGTCTCTCAGACTTGTCTGCAATACAAGGGACTTGGATCATATTTATGAAATAGCGGCAGAAATGTAAAAGCAATTCATAAGGATCTGTGGGACTCTTGCAGCTCACATACTCAGCCCAAATGACAGCTGCCGTTTAATGAGGTCCTGGCAGGGCCTCCTTAGTGAAAATGTGAATGGTGTAATGCAAAGATAATTGAAAAAAAAGTTTTTAAGAATTATTTTATTGGGAACCAGCAGTTAGCGTAATGGCTATGTCGCTGGACTCCCACGTAGTGGACCACGGTTCGCGTCCCGGACCCGGTGGCTTAAAACTCACGCCAGGCGCGTGTGTGTGCGTGCCCAAGATCCCGAGAGGAGAATGGAGGAGAAGGGATTGCGGCATGACCATCCCCCCTGGGGGGGTGATTTCTCGCTTTCTGTCTCTATGTCTCTTTCTGTCTGTCTGGCGAGCGCACGCGCCCTATAGGAAAAAAAAAAAAGAATTATTTTATTTAACTTTATTTATTTTCAATTTGACCAGAGAGGGACAGAGTGAGAGAGAGAGAGAGGGAAAGTGAGAAAGCAAGCCACCAGGTCTGGGACTCGAACCATGGTCGGCCATGGGTGTGCCCTTAACCATACCATTTGCTGACCCTGGAAAAGTTTTTATATAACTCTATGGTTCTCAACAGGGGGTGATTTTGCCCCCCCCAACACACACACACACACACACACACACACATGCCGAGGGCACCTGGCAATGTCTGGAGATAGCTTTGATTGTCATGAATGAGGGAGAGCTGTGGATATGAAGTGGGTAGAAGCCAGAGATGCTATTCAACACCTAAAAGGCAGAGGACAGCCCCACGACAGAGTTCTCTGACTCAGTGTCAACAGTGCTGAGCTTGAGAAACCCTGTTCTGATGGGATGACCAGGAAGAATTAGTTTTATTTTCTGGGTTTTTTTGTTTTTCTTTTTTTTAAATTTTTTTTATTTTAGGTTTTTGCCATGGGGCACATGCACTTGTCAGAGAAAGACAGAGAGACAGAGAAAGTGAGAAATCCCCCCTCAAAGAGATGGCCATGCCATAATTCCTTCTCCATTCTCCTCCTGGGATTATGGGCATGCACATACATGCACCTGGCATGAGTTTCAAGCTGCCAGGTCTGGGACTCGAACCATAGTCAACCCTGTGAGAGTCCAGCACCTTAACCACTATACCACCTCCTGGCCTCAAATAATTGTTTTTTCTTTGTTGTTGTTATTTTAATATACAGTCCTTGTAGGGCCAGCAGATGGCTCAGTAGTAACTTCACAGGACTCCCACATGGCCGACCAAGGTTTGAGTCCCCGAGTAGCTTGAAAATCACTCCTGGGGGCCAGCAGGTGGCGTGGTGGTTAAAGATGCTGGATTCCCACATGGCTGACCATGGTTTGGGTCCAGGACCTGATAGCTTGCTTTCTCACTTACCCTTGCCTCTCTCTCTGTCTCTCTCTGGTCAAATTTAAAAATAATAATAATAATAAACTGAATTATATATATATATATATATAGTCCTTGCTTTCCAAGGAGAGTCTGAAAACGTTTCTAGTGTGTGCTTGCAGTTTTTAAAGGATGAACACTTTACAACTTTTGGAAAAGTCCTATTCAGTCTTTCACTAAGAATGGTAATCCTTTCCAAAGAAATCTCTCTCCTCTAGAAAACATGATGCTAATTGCATTTCCCTGCCTGATAGCATTTACTGACTTTCCAGAAAAATTACATTGGTAGACAAGCAATTGTTTATCTTTTTAGCATTTTGGGGGGTTGGGGGAAGATAATTCTTAAGTCCTGATTTATTTGGGCAATAATTCAGTTGAGGAGACAGAAACATAAGTACTATGTCCCGAGAAACTACAAGAAACCATTTCAGCTGGGACATTGGTGTACGTTCCGTGAACCTGTCAGGCATATAAAATGACAGTCTACTGAAGTTCTGTGTGATCTTGGTCATATTTTGGCTTTCAAAAGGTTACTGCCAAGGCCAGCAGGTGGCGTGGTGGTTGAGGTGATGGACTCCCACATGGCCCACCACAATATGAGTCCCGGATCTGGCGACTTAACAATCACACCAGGTGCATGTGCACGTGTGCCCAAAATCCCAGGAAGAGACAGGATTGTGGCATGGCCATCCCCCCATGGAGGAGAGTGATTTCTCACTTTCCCTCTCTGTCTCTCTCTGGCAAGCGCAGGTGCCCTATTGCAGAAACCTTGACAGAGAAAGTTACTGCCAGAATTATCAGCTAACGACTTCCTGCAAATCTCAAGGGCGTAGCGAAGAGCGAAGAGCGTGGTGCATTGGCCTGAGCAGACTCAGGAGAGCAGCATGAGGGCATCTCCAAACTCTTCCAGGGACTGCACAGGTGGCCTGGAAGCAGCCATGGAGAATTTTCACCTTGGAAATCAGCATGCTCTAGGAATTAGGAGTTCTCCATGGAGTCCCGGTTAAACCTTCGCTCACATACCACTGGGTGGAGTTCTCCCACCCTTGCTCCAGTGTGCACCTCCCAGGTTCTTCTGAGTTACTCCTCCTTGTTGGTATACATTTCCACCTGACCTCCTCCCCTGCCTTGCCAGTAATTCTAACGTGGTTACTCTGTATTGTGTGTGTGTGTGTGTGTGTGTGTGGTGTAATCTTGTAAAAAGTATTTT